GACAAAAGTCAAGAAAGTTCAGATGAGATGCAGAATATTACAATACAATTATAAATATATGTAATTAAAGCTGCACAAGTTAGAAAGGTGCATTTTTAAACTAAGTAAGATCTAACCTTGCTCAGTTTGAGGGATTTTATTGGACATGATGCTGCTTAGCGTGTTATTGGACCAGACGCCATCCTGTTGTGCCAGAACTGAGAGCAGGCAAAGCTGTGTGCTCCCAGTTTCTAACAAAAGGCTGTGTGCCAACTGCAACATATTAAGACATAATTACCAACATTTCAGTGAGTGAGTCATATGTAATGATAGACAGAAAAGAGTCTAACATAATTGTTTGGACAAGGTTACCGTATTACTATTACTATTAAACATTGTACAACTCTTTTAAACATTTGATGTTGTTTTTATAAAGAGAACCAACAGATTGAAACATTCAGGGAATGTGTTTTTTGATTGCTTTCAATGATTGGCTCAACCTAATGCATTCAAATTACTAAACAACTTTTCATTGCTTATCACTGCAAAGATAAATGCCTGGGAAAGCTGACCTTCATGGAGGACTGAAACTCCTCCCATAAGGCACCAGGGACATGCTGGGGCAGTAAGAGCAGCAGCTCCGCACAGCTCCTGTAAACCCAACACAGTTATTTGTTAAAGGCACATTTAGGTCAAGGCTGTGAACACATTTACAAAAATTAAGGGTGGCCATACAAGAATAACTATGCACCAAGTGTGAAGCATTAAAGTCAGTGTAAAATAAAGATGGACAAAGAGGGGTGTAAATCAACAGCATCGAGACACTTTAATTACATGGATCAATATTGGTGTACGTGTATGTGTTATTAAATAAAGATCAGTACTTAATAATCAATAACCAAAAAGGTTACATCATTGCATTTTATAATTGTTGCATTGGTTTCTTTTCATTTTTTAGTGTTCACCTAACCACCTTGTGCAAAATATATTCTGTTGCCCATCCCAAATATGTCGAAGCTCCCCAAGAAGTAGCCTACATTTCTATTCCGATTACCGCCTCAAGGACTTTGCCTTTATCATGAGAGCACTCTTTGTGAACAGAGGAGTAGTTTCTCCCTGGATGTTGATGCAGAGTGTTTTTATCTTTTTATATCCACATTTCTGATCTTTTAAAATATGGATTTGGATGCGTTTTCTTTCATGGTTATTGTCAAATATTGTGCAACTTCTGTGCAGGATTGCTATCTTCAAAATTATGAAGCCGGACAAAGAGTAAACTATATAATTGGAACTGCAAAGCAAACTAATATTAGGTATGATATCATTTGCACATCCAAAACCTGTAACCCATACATTGCAACATGAACTTTAGAATACCACAGGAAATACTTAAGGAGGATGCTTTCTCCAACATGCAATTTGAGCATTATGTTTCATCAATATTTAACACATATTACAGGTCAATGACATGCTGAAAGGTATAATAAAACAAAATACAGAATATTGAAAACTCTAATTTCCAGAAAGAGTTTCTACTCACAGTGCCAATTTTTCAAGTAGGAGTGGCACGTTTTCACATTCGGAGGAGAGACAGGAGGATGCCTGAGCAAAGCTGAGGATGGCCACAGTGTAGACCTCCAGCAAAGGCAGAGGATCTTCATCAGTTTTCCAACGGCCGACATGTTCCACAAGGACCTGCCAAACATAGGAATACTTACAATTAGATCCAAACTATTGATTAATTGATTTTTTGTTTTTGCCACACCTGTGTATAGCAATACGGGTTAAGAAATGTAAAGACGAACACAATGTGTATAAATCATAAAATCCCAAAACCCAATAAAAATGGGACCAATAAAAAAGTACATCTAATTAGTAATTTAATAATTTTTCATCATTATTTGTTCATGGTTATTCTTAGGGTTTTTGAAACTAGCTAGCAAAGAAAAACATTTGGAGATATCACCTTTCATACTGGGACATTATGACATACATTTTCAAAATGTTCTGCATTTTCCAAACTCATTAACTAATACCAATATATCTTACAACGGCATATACATCAATAATGAAATCCATAGTTAGGGTTGTAGCTCTATAAGCTTACTTGTTAGCCCAACTATTTGTGTCCCTTTGTATACTTTCTATAGTTCAGCAGTTGTATAAGTGTAATAACATATAAAGTAGTGAGTCCAGTTGGACAACAATATAAATTAAGGAAACCATTGTAGTAAAAGACAGATTAAAGGCTTGATAATCATGACAGCATCAAAATAAAATATGTTTAGTGAGGAAAAAAGACCCCATTCCTCAAAGAAGGTAGCAATTTTATATTTAATGTAAACATTGAAAGTCACTATAAACTTTAAACTTTGCTTTGATTTAAAAAAATAAAAAAACATCACCTAACTTTCGAAAAAAATAAAAAAGTAATTCCAAACTATTAACTTTAAGGAAGCAAAACATGCATTTGTATACTCTTATTATCTACTGATTACATAATCCAGCAGAGATGTAGACACCTAAAATAACAAAGCACCAGTTATGTGTGGCTCAGCAAAAAACAACTTCTTTATCCTCCCTCTTTTTTTCTCCAAACCCCAGCTCAAATAACGCCTAACCTTCATCAATGAAAACTCCCTCCATTTCTTCCACACAGAAAAACTCTACAGATCCATTTCATCCTGAATGACTCCATTATTCATGCAGTTTTACTCTTACGAGATAAATCTCCATCATGGCACAAAACTACAGCATGCAGCTCGAGGCTCGTCCCCTTTTACTCAAATAACTTTAAAGTTGCATTCTTTACCGGCGTTGAATGTTGGATAGAAACACACTAATAATCCAAACTCTTTTTGTGCGATGGCAGTAATTCACAAGGTTATATAAATTAAATGGAGACATCGCATCATATGTTCGTGGTCAGGGCAAATTAATGAGAAGGATGTGTAATGGAGTCAGTGACCACTGCCACACTTTCCCTTTTTAATCACTGTCTAAGCCAGCTGCAGGCAGATCGGTTGCTGTAACATTGACATCCATCTAACATTTTTCACTGGTGCTGGCTATACGACTGTAATAAACATCTCCGCTGATGTGGTTAGCTGGATTAATTAGGGCAAAAGGCCTGGGCTAGCACCTTGAAAAAAAATCATTGATCTTTCCGTACAATCAAACAGCTTCAAAAAAGTAACCAATTTTCACACCATGCTCAAACTTAAGACATCATGCAGCGTTATAACGTTTTTATTGTCTTTTCAAAGGGGGACACAACCGTTTAATTCAGTGCATTTCAATGCAATGGCCCTGTAAAATTTCGCTAACGTAGCTACCCGTTTTTTGCACAGCATGACCACTGCACAGGACAGGGGGACCCTGCATACCAGCTAGCAACATTCATCTGCTATTAGCTATCTGGCCTGGAAAATACCAGTAATAGATGCACGGCGCGCACACATTGGAGTGACTTATCGTCGCATGGATAGTCAGACTTTGCAAAAAGGTTCATGCCATAAACGATCATCATTGAGAGAATGGCTGAAAACCATGGAGGAGTTTTTTTCCCCATCTTGAAATGCCAGGCATAGGCAGCTAGCTCCTTAGCTACATTGTTGTAGCAAACGTAGACGCGCATCCTCGGCCAGGAAGCCAGAGGGGCTGCAGGCTGCCCGGGATGAGCAGTAGGAGGACGGGCTAACCTGGCAAAACTCCTGGCAGAAATGCAGGGAGGCTTCCAGCGGGGACTGCAAACTCTCTTTCAAAGCTGTGGTCAAACCCTGGAACCGCTCTCGGAGCTCCTCGATAGCTTTCCGTGTGTCATATTCCTTCTCTGTCTCCCCCTCCGCCATCTTCACAACAATCACGACCGCGTACGCACAGATGTTACGCTGCCAGACTCGCACACGCACGCGCACGCAGAGGGGGAAGGGTGAGTACAGAGTGTGCTCCACACACACACACACACACACACACCCCTGATGTCAACAAAGCATCCATGGCCTTACTGTGGCACAAAATCACACTCTGCAAACAGAGTGAACGTGAAGTGTTTGCTCATCACCTAATCAGTATGATTGGACTCCTGGATTACCCTGATGCTGTTACCATCCGTGCAAAGACAGGGTACTCGGCCATGACCTCCAAGCACTGAGCAGCATAAGACAAACATAACCTTTTATATTTTCATGAACATTTTAAACCAGCTCCAATACCCCAGGGGCACGGTATTCTCGTGTTTCTTGTCCCTCCTGATCATTCAGATTGCAGGGTCAGCTCGATGCTTCAGTGTGACTGCAGCAGTTCACTTACAGGGGTCAGTCAACTGAAAGACTCCCAGTTGAACATATGGCCTCAAAGGCAACATGTTACTTAGCATGTTATAAGTGACGTAAAAGCATTATGATTATGTTTTTATATTATAAGGGGCATACAATGTTAAAAGGAGTAATGCCACCAAAGCTCTGATTATTGTATAGTAGCCTACTTACTATGATATCTTTAAGTTGAATATTATCCTCAAAATGTAGCTAAATACAATCTTCAAATTCATGGCTGGTTTTACCCATTTCCCAACCTCCATCTACACACTAAAAATTGCTACATTTGATTTCTCAACCATTTATAATCTGAAGGTCTAGGGAAGTTTTGATCATATTACCCACTCTTCAACAGCAGATTAAGTTTGCGCAGGTGTGGTGACATTTTTAAGTTTCAAATTACCATTAATGTACCACTTTTTTCCAGCACATTTTCACAGCTTTCATTTTCTATTTATTGGCTTCTTGACCAATTTTTCAGATTTCTCATGTCACAAACCTGTTACCAACCTCAAAGTCATTTTCGTACTTTAAGACTGCTACTTGTGTTACTATTCCATTATATTTATTTTGCAGTGTATTGGACCGAAACAACTCAGTATTTCGTAAAGTACTAAATAGCCCTCAAAACACACAACGCAATACCATGCATTTAGAGTAAGACGCATTCATTATAATGCATAATTTTAATTGCTTTTCAACTTACAATGAATCATATACATCTACCAACTAAAACACAGGCTTATTATACAGACAGTATTGCTACAAAAACATTATCTGGCAACATATCAACATACATTGTAAAAGTGATAGAATTTGTTGCCAAGTTAAGCGCTGCAGAAAGGTCTCCAGGTCCGTCTTCATATCTTGTTATGGTGGCAGGTGCTGCAGTGACACTCTGTATGGTTTAATACTTTTATATTAACCATGTCTGACTGAAAGAGGCAAAGATGAAGAAAAGACACATATGTTATTCTTAACCAATTCCTATTTGTCTACAGCAGTAACTGTGTAGATCAAATGCTCTATTACCAGTGTGAGCAGTTTAAATGTTTTGAAATCTTTACAACAGAAAGTTAAAATAAACTGCAACCTAATACAAACCAAACATTAGTAAAATCAAAATATACACTCATATAATTTAAGTAAGATAACAAGCACAGTTTAAAAATGACTTTATTACAACTGAAATAACAGCTTTCCAAAAACGATGTGTAACCACTCTTTAATTTAACAATTTAACAATGCACTGTAAGTTTGTCTGTTATATTATAGCCAACAATATTCTCCTCAGAATTGCAATTGGGTAGAAGTATAAAGTACATAATTTCATTTGTAATTATTTACGATAACACGTACCTAAACCTTTAGGTAAGCCTATATTTAAAGTAGTTTATTTCCATTACTGATTACCTAACATCACCAAATCCTAAGAAATATCCTTAAATCAATCTGAACATAAAATAAGAAAAAAGATCAACCAAAAGAGATTAAACTTGAACTATAACACAAATATTTAAAGTGGGGATTTTGTTTTATCTGCCACTTCTTTAACAGTTAGTCAGTGTAAGTCTGTTATTTGATATCACTCATGTCAATCTCACTGTAACCTCTATGCAAAGTGAATATTTAAAGTAAACTTTGCCTGACAAAGGATTTGTCTGTTACTGTGCCTTTACCTCTACCTCGTAGCTGCGACTCGCAACACAGCATGTTGACTCTGAGGTGATGTTCTTTGGGATCCTCATGGTCTTCAAGGACCAGAGAGGTGTCGGGTAAGCTCTGGAGAAGCAGCAGCCCACGCACTGGTAGATTGGGTGGTCGCCAGGCAAATGGTTGTTCCTTCTCAGTGCGCACTCCGGACAGCCCACTGGAGAAAGACAATACTATTGATTATGGACAGCTTGTGCTACAGTGCCAGAGACAAGTTGTGCCTTTTGGAGAGGAGGGTACCTAATGCATTTGTACTTAATTATAAAGAAACCTTACTGTTTGGTGAGTCCATGCTGGGGTAAGAATCAGCTACGTAAAGAAGAAAAGACATCAGAAGCAGAGACAATCCAGCTGATTTCACTGACTGCATCGTGGTGCCACAAGTCATCTAAGAGAGACAAAATAAAATCGTGAATCCAAAATCTATTGATCAAAGCATTAGCAAGTCAGACATAAAGATAGAGCATTACCATGTTGTGAGAAAGTTCCCTCTTCATTGTGTCTCTGTAGAGGATGGCTTTTTACTCAGGACTTTTCCTTCTTTCTCGTTTTATATCCGTGTCTCTGGCCCCTTCCTGGATTAGGTGGAACCTACCAACCTTATCAATGATCTCACCGACTCACTGGCCACCTTTGGTACCTTGCACATAATCCCTTGAAAGGACAAAATGATCGTGGAAAGTCAAAACATACTTCCATCATCGTTCCATCCTGACTATTGATGCTGCATTTAATCCATGGGGTTTTGTTACTTGGTAACTGCTGATTGTTTTTATTTGTCATAGAAGGGTCAATAGTTTTATGTTTTTTTCTGCTTTAAATCACAAGTTTTCTATTCATAATATTATTCAGCAGTTGCACCTGTAGACTTTTGATATTTCCCTTGACAATGACAAGATCTGTATTCTACCTTCCATTTTCAAGTAGGCATTCGTACATCCAAAAAGGACTAAAAACTCTGTAAAATGTCACTGAATAGGTGATGCCATATTTTTCTTCAATTAAAGCTTCGTTCATTGAACTGCTGCATCCTAGCCAAACAAATTAAATAAACGATTTATGAGTTCACTTTGATCTTCATTTCGCACAAAAACATATGACATCTAAATATTTTCGTCAGTTCAGTTTTTATCAGTTTATAAATATGACTAAACTCTTTTGAAACACTCCAGCAGTCATTTATTTTGGATGTATTATTTTTGTTTCCTTTACATTATGTTCATTTACTTGCATAATTTATTAGAGCCATTGCTTCTTCAAAATTGGAGGAATTGATGGATGGAAAAAGTTATGAACAAATGGAAAGGTATCTAATAGTTGCTAAGGAGTATCCATCTGTTCGCCCCCAGCATCTGAAATGTCAAGGATGAATATGAATTGGCTTTGTATTTCGTCAGTGTGTTAGCTTAAGCACTCGTGTCCTGCGTCCTTGGTTGTGCCGGTGATAAATCCTCGGCCTCGACTCGTAATTAAATAATTGTCGAAAACGAGATGTTTCAAATCATAGAGATGTTTTAAGGCTGTTTAGTTTGCTTCAATCACAACAATTTAACCTTGTTTTGTACACCCAATAAAATGTGGTACTTATGTCATTCCTGTTGATAAGATTGATAGCAATGGCTGTTACATTGTGTGATCTTGTCTTTGTCATATGGGACAATTTTGACTGACATCATAACACATTATTTTAGTACAATGGCCTATTGAACAACACATGTGTAAGAATAAAAAGCACGAGTAATATCACATCAATCAAGAGCTGACAACATTTTAATCATACCATATAGTCTTATGTAACATCATACTTGGCTCTTTGCAGCACTGTATAAAATAACTGCTTGAAACAACTTGGACTCATGAGGAATGAGTTGAGCTGTGTTAGTGTGTTTGAGATACAAGATATTAGATGTTAGGAGATATTGAGAAAAAAAAAGAGAACCAGCTGAGAAAGAAGGCACAGAAGATTAGTTAAATGTGCAGTTTTCCTCACCCTATATTTGAATAATCACATTGACAGGCTTCACGGCCTCCAGATTTATGAAACAAGAAATGGTGCAAAGTCTTTGTATAGTTAATGATCTGGGTGGCTGAGAACGAGAACCACAGAGATGTTGAACTGTGTTATATAAATTGTGTAGCCATATGCTTGAGATAATCTCAAGGGCTCCAGTGTCTACACTCTCACTGTTGCTGTGTTGAGATAGCCCGGGTAACAGAGAGGTTAGCTGGTCATATCTGTATTCAGCAGGCTCAGTTCAAAGCCAAAGGTTTCTGGATGGCATCAGTGTGTTACTGACACCACACAACAAATTAGGTAATTAGCTGAGACCTGTAGTTTTCTTGGTTATGAAGCTAATGAGAAAATGCATTGTAGCAGTAAAGAGAATGATGATTGTAACCCATTCAGTTTGAGCATACTGTAGTTACAATCCTTGCTTATTCCCAAGAATTAAGGCGGCCTAAAAATATTAATTAAATGAATTACAGGTAAACACACCTTTGCTTTTGTGTAAACATAGGTGCAATAAAAGGAGGTATACAAAAGACAGAGGAGTCAGATCATATTTGCTTGGAACTCTCTCTCCACACGGTGGCATGAGAGATCTGTAATATAAGAACACTAATGACCCTTTATCTCATTAAATAGCCATGACATAGTGGATATTCTGTTCATCAGAGGCTCTTTTTTTTTTTACTGTTTATCACTAACAAAGAAGACATTGTCAGGGATAGACAAACAAAAAGCCATAATGTTTTCCTGTATGGGTTAAAAGGTACATTTCTTAATTTCTTAAACTCAGAAGATTTGAATTGCAAATGCCAAAAGTGAGCAACTAAAACGAATTGAATTAAGTCCAAGAAGCCTTCTTTTCTGATGATCAATTAATATTAATTCAGAAGCTGGATCTTCTGTCGACTTTTTTTCTTTCAAATATTGTAGAGTTCTTGCAGTTAAATTACATTAATACATTACATTACATTGCATTTAGCTGACGCTTTTATCCAAAGCGACTTGCAATAAGTGCATTCGACCAAGAAGATACAAACTTGAAGAAAACAGAATCATATAAGTACATCAGGTTTCATAGAGCCAAACCATTTTAAGTGCTACTCAATTGACTTTAGATAAGCCAGTCCTTTGTTAGTATATAATTGCTTTGTTAGTATATAAGTATATGAGTGCTTAGTTAGTATATGAGTGCTTAGTTAGTATTTAAGTGCTTTTTTTTTTCTTTTCATTTTATTGCTCGAAGTGGAGTCGAAAGAGATGAGTTTTCAGTCTGTGCCGCAAGATGTGTAAGCTTTCTGCTGTCCTGATGTCAATGGGGAGCTCATTCCACCATTTTGGAGCCAGGATTTCAAACCAACGTGTTTGCACGTGCTGGGGGGTTTAACCATGTCCTGGATGTAGGAAGGGCCAGAACCATTCACAGCATGGTATGCAAGTACCAGTGTCTTGAAGTGGATTCTAGCAGTTACTGGAAGCCAGTGAAGGGAGCGGAGGAGCGGTGTGGTGTGGGAAAATGTAGGAAGGTTGAAGACCAGACGAGCCGCTGCATTCTGGATGAGCTGCAGAGGTCGGATGGCACATGCAGGTAGACCAGCCAGGAGGGAGTTGCAGTAGTCTAGGCGTGAGATGACGAGAGCCTGGACCAGAACCAGCGCTGTTTTCTGGGTCAGCTGGGGACGTATCCTCCTGATGTTGTAAAGCGTGTATCTGCAGCAGCGGGTTGTTGCAGCGATGTTTGCAGTGAAGGACAGTTTGTTATCTAGGGTCACACCCAGATTCCTTGCAGTCTGAGTCGGGGAAACAACAGAGGGGCCGATAATGATTGTTAGGTCAAGAGTGGGACAATCTTTTCCCGGAAGAAAAAGCAGTTCAGTCCTGTCAAGGTTGAGCTTGAGGTGGTGAGCAGACATCCACTGAGAGATGTCTGCTATACCAGGGGTTCCCAAACTTTTCAGCCCGCGACCCCCAAAATAACTGTGCCAGAGACTGGCGACCCCCGCCACGGGAATTGTCAACGGGGGGGTGGGATTCTCAACTCCGGTGGATCCTCATCTCCGGTGTGTCTCACTCATTAAGGCGAGACACGGCAGGCAAAAACGTGGTTTTTCATGCACTTTTATCCAAAGCGACTTACATACACAACGACATGCTGACTGCAGTGGGGTTTGACCCCCTGATCGTCCACCACAAGGTTCTATCCACTGCACACCGTTCAGGGCTTTTGGAAGGAAAACGTTACAAAATACTTTAGGTGTTTACTTTTACCAGGGCCATCCGCTGGCAACTTGAGGCCCACGCAAGGCTTAAGATGCTGATGCCTCTGTTTCGGGGACGTCGACGGAGGGGTTGGGTGCTAGTGGAGCCTCGCCAGCGGCCGAAACCGTGCCGCGCCGACACTA